TGAAAAGAGTACACGTGTTACCGCTCATCATGGGCGCGAGGGACGAAACCTAACATTTAACAGTGAGGGAAAAAAAAATGGAATAAGCAGCGGACTGGGTACAAGAAGCGGAAGGAAGAGTAGGAAGGTAAGTGAAAAAAAAAAACAGAGGCGAAAAAGAGATAGTGAGGAGGCGGAAAGGAGAGAGGTGTTGAGAGAAGCCCTTCTCTGTGGCGGTGGCGCGTAAGGGCCATCATGACGACTGTTTGTGTGCCGCCATGCTCGGCTGAATGCGCACACGCACCCACGCACACACATCCATATCAAGTGTATATATTCAACCTATGGGTCCGGGATGCATGGTCGTGAGTTTGTCAGTGCAGATGTGAATTTCAAAGAAAAGGCAACACTCATATCGATGCGTCCATCTTTGACGACCTTCACACGCTCTGAAATGAAAGTGAAAGAGATGGTTCAAGAAACAATATGTAGGCGAGGAAAAAAAAATGGAATAAGCAGCGGAATGGGTACAAGAAGCGAAAGGAAGAGTAGGAAGGTAAGTGAAAAAAAAACAGAGGCGAAAAAGAGATAGTGAGGAGGCGGAAAGGAGAGAGGTGTTGAGAGAAGCCCTTCTCTGTGGCGGTGGCGCGTAAGGGCCATCATGACGACTGTTTGTGTGCCGCCATGCTCGGCTGAATGCGCACACGCACCCACGCACACACATCCATATCAAGTGTATATATTCAACCTATGGGTCCGGGATGCATGGTCGTGAGTTTGTCAGTGCAGATGTGAATTTCAAAGAAAAGGCAACACTCATATCGATGCGTCCATCTTTGACGACCTTCACACGCTCTGAAATGAAAGTGAAAGAGATGGTTCAAGAAACAATATGTAGGAATTTAACCTTCAATCACAAATTCAGTACTATTTCCCAATGGAAAACGGTAAAACAACAAAAGCATTTAATTTTTTAATGAGAATACTCATTAAAAGCATACAATAATGACACGTAATAATTTTTTTAATGAAAGGGTTTTAGTTTCACGTTCTCCTGCAATGCGCATTGTGCTGCTCATTCCGGTGTGCACGTCTCGGCCACACGGGGGCAGCATACAGTACGACAAATGGATAAACTGCTCATTGAGACATCTCAACTCGTCAGTACGGCACTAAAATTAGCCGTTCTTCGCGGAGGATCAAGACCACATGCCTTTGAAGTATTTTAATAACTGTCGACATGCATTGCTGTTTGTGTTCAGATATACATCGCTTATAGGGTAACACCACCACTAAATAGATGCTAATTGTTAGCCCGTACGCCCGTAGCGTTCAACAAAGTATGTTAGTGAAGGCTTTGTGATTGCTTAAAAAAAAAAAAAAAAAAAGCTTAAGACAGCTTCTGTTTGGTTACGGTTTGTAAGTCATGTATCTCTCAAGGCACCACTGTGAACAAGCATGTTGCATTTAATGTTGATGCTAGCTGTTCAACCATTCGGTCGATCATGTTTTAAAGGAATGATTTAACATTCATCGCTTGCTTTTTTTCTTTTTCTTTTTTTTTTTAACACGATACAGCTCAAATTTCATACATATTTTCTTCAAAATTAAAATGATTGAAAAACAACAATGTAATATGGGCAGAGAAAAATATTATACTAAGTATTTCTCCTAGTGCAAGGTGCTACAGAAGTTAAAGGAATCGTCAAAGCCACAGAGATATCTGAAGCAGGTTAAGAATGAAAATCTGTAATGTCCTACATTGCAAGTACGTCACCGGCTGTGACTCACTCATGATTAATTGAGAGAATGACTGTTTTTCCAAGGTATGTGTGGCTTCCTGCATGAGGAATAAGCGTAAAAGGGATCTGGAAACTCCTGCAATGACATGACACAACAGTAGGGGAAGCCTGGGCGCATGTGTAGTATCTCACACATATCTCCTGTTTTGTCAGAAGTCATCGTAGATTTACAACATTTCACTGAAAGTCTTGATTGCACGTTTGTTTCGATAGCGGACATCGAGGAAATTACAACGAGGAACTTTTTACATGTGCTAATGTCTCATGCTAATGATGGGGTCAGAGTGGAAGAAAACCGAATGAAGGGAAAGTTGTTGACGCCTTGGATGAGCTGATTAAGGAGAAACCCGTTGCGGCCTGTGCTTTGCCGGTGTTTAAAGTTAGAAATGCACCGGTCGTGCATCAGAAAGGACTTTTGATTACGTTAATAAATTGCGTAGAAGTAATTTGAACATTGGAAAGACACAGTAGCGTGGAGGAATAAGGTGTGCCAAGCAAGGATAAGGAGGAGTCTTCCTTCTTTTACACTTGCTTTCTCATGCCAGTGAATCTGTGTGTGTGTGTGTGTGTGTGTGTGTAGGTGGGTGTGTGTGTGTTTACGTGCGTGTGTACATGTTTTTGTGTGTGAGCGCATGGGTTGATTTTACGATGTTATGCCGGAGTGACATGAAGACCGCACAACATTCAAGCTGCCAGTCGCGCCCCGTGTGTGGGTGTGTGTGTGTGTGTGTGTGTGTGTGTGTGTGTGTGTGTGTGTGTGTGTGTGCGCAATAGTCATAATGTTCATCATCCTGCACTGATTACTACTAGGTATCATACATTTTGTGTATGTAACATATATAATATCTGTAATCTCTCTCTTTCTCTCAATTTTTCCTCTCTTTCACATGTTCTCCCCATGCCTGCGTGGGTTTTCTCCGGGTACTTCGGTTTCCTCCCACATCCCAGACCAGAAACATGCACCATAGGTTAATGGAACACTTTAAATTGTCCCCGGGTGTAACTGTGAACGCAAATGGTTGTTCGTCTACATGTGCCCTGCGATTGGCTGGCAACCAGTTCAGGGTGTACCCCGCCCACTGCCCGATGACAGTTGGGATAAGCTCCAGCAAGGCCGCGATCCCGGTTGAGGATAGAGCGGTTCAGATAACGGATGCATGGTTGAATGGATATCCAAAGTACAAAAAATATCGACGTTGTATGCATAACAATTCATTTAAAGAAACATGAAACAATTATTTATTCATGTATTTATTCTCTATTTATTCATGTTATCTATGCAGCATGATAAAATGTACCCAAAAAATGCATTTTGGATGTTCGTGTGAGAAATGATTGTTTTATATTTGCAAATGATATACGGCAGCCAAGTGACCGCCCATTTTTTTAAATTTCACCAATGTTTCAAGATATATAATACAAATAAAACATGATACCAGGTGCATCAATGTGAGAATAGATTAAATGTTATTTATTTGATGTTGTGCTGCAACAAAGTGCAAAAAAAACATACTTACTAGCATCATAAAAATTATTCTTGAAAAAAAAAAGATCAGAAATTAATAAATATTATTCATGTCGAAATATCTTGCTACGACAAATGATATGCTTCAATGTAGTAAAAAAAAAAAAATTAAATGAAGTAAAATAAAAAAACTTGAACCCTAACACTTTTACAGCTACAAAGGAAAGCAGGACAGATTTTTCCTCCAACAAAGCAGAATGCACGGAACTATAATTCAACATGTTTAAAGACACTTTTGGAAGTATAACACACTTTGTGTCAATTAGAAATGTTTTGCTCAAATAAAAACGCGATCAAATTTTTTATGTATGTACATGTGACAAACGTGATTCTTTCCTGAGTGTTACGATAGCAAAATTTAAAAATGCTTTCAAGGATTTATTGAGCGCATTTTCGCTGCAAAATCAAATAACATTAGCCCGTATGGTTGTACATGTACGAATAGAAATGCTGATCTAAAAAGAAGTGCCGTCACCGATGAGTACACTGAAAAAAATGGTGTGTTGAATTTTATTTCATTTCGTTAATTGGTTGGCTCAATATAAGATCGTCTGGATCCAGACAAATTTCATATATAGACTTTTACTCTCCTGACATAAATATTTCGATCCAGGCGCTTTTGTTTCATGCAAGCACTTGATGAAATAAAAATTCAACACACCATTCCCCCCTCATGTGTTTTTGAATGCCATCAAAAACTTTGCCCCCAAAACCAAGTGTATGAAACTGGAAACGGATTAACATTTTTAAAGCGTCGCAGGCATGCGCCTCACCACTCCGAGATCCCCAATCTCGCTCTTTTATGTGGCACCGTTAATGACATTCAAAGCACTCCTTCCCCCCCCTGTATTGTCCTGCAAAGTGCGGCGCGCTCATCTGCACATGCAAAGGTGGTTTCTCTCTCTCTCTCTCTTTCTTCGGCTCGGAGGGGGTTAATGATCTTACACCTGTCCTTTCAGACACCTGTTTCAGGCATGTCAGCCAATGGGAGGAGAGCAGGGGAAGGCCGCCGCTTGTATAAATCACGCTGGGAAAATTGATATGGATATTATGGGATGGTTGGGTCTGCCCGTGTCACACGAACCTAGAGGCCACGGCGCACAAAAGAAAATCGGGGGAAATGGGAATCTCCTCTCGAGGTGTTGGATGGAGACACTGGGAAATGACTGCATGTAATGCATTGAATTACATAATGGGGAAACCCTAGAAGCACCCCCCCCTCCCCCCGCCCCCCAAACACCTCCCATCCTGTCGAGGTGTTTGCAGTGGGTTCATGGTGGTTTTATGAGCTTTGCGAGTCAGGAACAGGTGCACCTGAGTGCAAGTGACCCAGACGCTAAGATGCAAACCTCTGCAGGAATCCGCGCAAACGTACACACGGTAGTCCGAGTCCTTCAAAGCGGTGAGCACCTGTGGCCTTTTGCTGCCATCGACACACTTGATGAACTGTTTATCCAAGGTAAACTTCAAGGGGAGGTGGGAGGGGGGGGCTTTCATTTAGTTGGCGGGCATCAGGATATTTAGCTGACGTCGCGCTTCAGGCTCTCCAAACAAATCCAATCCTCTAAATCCCGAGATTCCGTTCGGTTGTGGGTGAAAACCACAAGCATCTCTTTTAAAGAGTTGGACAAATAAAGAATGTTTGCGTAGGATTGGAGAATGCACTTTGTTTTGCTTTGGCTGGAAACCGCAAAGTACAAGATGCGTGGATGTTTTGTCAGCGGGGTTGGAAAACGAGTTGTCAGTGGGTGGTCCCGCGTCTTTTGCGGGACTTGTGTTGTCGGATCCTTACTCAGCTCTGTGATTTTGCAATCGAAACCTTTTCGCAGCTCAGGGGTGAGACGGTGCGCTGCCCCGAGGCTCTGTTACCGCCGTCTTTCCTCACCCTGTCACAAACCCATGTGTCATTAAACGTACGGGTTGCTATTCGCAGGACTCTGGGAGTGGTCTTTCAGAGCGAGAACTTCAACTATAACCGCTACAACGCAAACTACATGGACCCCTGGTCGTACATGGATAACCCAATGCCCGAGGAGAACCTGGCCAAACCCAGGCTCCACCCGGGAGACGACCTGGCGGCCATTACCATGCTTTATGAACAGTGCAAGGTAAAACTCAAGCAAAAACTCATTTCATTCGAGCCCGTTCATATTTCCACATTTCGTCATTTTTGAATCCCTCCAGAGCCAGAAGGAGCAGAAAGTTCCTGCCTGCAGCCGAAACAGTAGCATCTTCAAACCAACAGAGAGGTAAACGAAAAAAAAAACTTTGGATGAAGTGGGGAGAGAGGTAATCCTCAAGTCAAACACGGCCCTGAATCAAATCCATCATCAACTTTGACTCACTTTAGGAGTTGCGCAACACTTGGGGCACACAATAGCGGTCCCCTCCTTCTGTCCCCACTGAGCCCCTTACCCTCGTGTCTCCGATGTGCCCCCAACCCCCTTCAGCATGTTAAACACCCCGCGGAGAAACTCAAACAAGAACCGGATTAAGATACAAATAGTGCCCACCCTGACTCACAAAACTTTGCGGTTAGCTGTGTGCGCTCAGAGACGCTAAGTCAGATGAAGTGCTAGATAGATTGCAGGCTACTTGCTATCATCTCGATCCAACAACCGACTCTTGCTTCCCCCCCAGGACTCCCAGCAATGATCTCGTCTCATTGGAGACGTCGGCCAATGTCATGAAGATCCTTTCCGAGAGCGTTCCCGCCAGCTACTCCCTTGAGGTCTTAGGATCCAAGCAGAACCCCTCGCTGCCCGTCACCCTGCCCCCCAACGCCGACACCTACGCCACCCTGACCAGCGTGGCGGCGGACAGCGACAAGCAGGACCTCAATAACATTTTCGACTCTCTGCTTCAGAAGTGGCCGGAGAGCAGCGCGTTCCCCGACCACAGCGCCGAGGTACAACTCGTGATCTTCCAAAGCATTTCAATTTGAACCCTGGAGAACCCAAGAATCCTTTTCTTCTTTGGGAAATGATAAATTATACATTAAATGGCTGCTATATGTTCACAGAACACCAAAATATATGTTTTTTTTTCAAATATTCAATGCTTTAATCCTTATTTAGGATTTGGGCCAAATTTGACCCTTTGGGATTTAAGGGTAGCATTTGAGTAGCAGAATTTATAGGGGCCAAATTTGAGTTCTCCAGGGTTAAATTCAGAATTTGAAGTCTTTTAACATGTTTTGTTTTTGGGGTTCTTAGACTCTGACCTACAACGATCCCTTCCCCGAGGACCACTCCAGTCCCGTCTACTCGGGCTCCTACTCTGGCTCCCCGCCGGAGACATACAGGAGCGAGTTCCAATTTTCCTTGGGCGCTCCCTCAGCCTCCCCTTACAAATCCAGCGAGTTACCCATGGTCTACCTAAATAAGGGGCAATTCTATCCCATCACTCTGCAGGGAGTGGACAGCAGCGCCTGCATGACTGCTACCAAAGTCAAGGTAAGAACCCAAATGGCGGGATTTGTTTCATGTTGAGTTGAGCATTTTTTTTTTTTTTTTTGGTTTGCATAAATTGTTCCGAAGTGGCAATCTTCCCAAATAAGTGTCCCTCCCAAGGAAGTGGCTCCTGGGTGACTAATTCCCTGCTCATACTCGGCTAGGACATAGTGTGACATTTATTGTTAATACCACGACATACATCTAAGGTGACGTGTGTGCAAAAACAACACGCACAAAAAAAATAAAAAAGGCAAGGAGCGAAGGAAGGTGTGGTTTTTCTTTTCTTTTTGTTTTGTTTTTAACATAAGGTGACAATCTTTTCTTTGTCAAGCTTGCACATGGAAAAAAAAATATTCACAATCTCACGCCTGGTCACGGTACATCAGCGATGACAATGGCAGCAGAAAAGAAGGATTGGGAGTGACGAATGATTTTCCATCCGCCAGACACTAAATTCTCCTCTCACGTGTCTTTCTTTCGATTCTTTTTCCTCCGACGGGCAGACGGTGGTGATGGCCGTGTTCGAGAATGACAAGACGCCCGAGATGCAGCTTCGCTTTTGGAACCACTGGCACGCACGCCAGCCGACTGTCAAGCAGAGGGTGATTGACATCGGTAGGTCGACTCCCAAACAAACATACAAACAACAAATCGTCGCTCCACCGAAGCCTTGCCTTATTTATTTATTTATTTTTAATTCCATTTCATAGCGGACTACAAAGAAGTATTCACCGGCATTAGCAACATCGAGGAGGTCGCCTTCAATGCCCTCTCCTTCATTTGGAACCCCCATGAAGAAGCCAAGGTAAAAAAAAAATTAAAAAAAAGCACACCATGACACGTATTAAAGACAACGCGGACAGGTGAAAGATTTAGAGGGAAAAAAAAAAAGAAAGCCAGGAGGAGTGGCTGAGGAGGGAGGGTAAGAATCCAAGAAATGCGTTTTGGCCCCGAGGCTCTGTCACCACCGCAAAAGGCCAATTCTCATTTCCCTGTGGCCCAAAGGCGCTTGGGGTGGGGTTGCGGGTGAAAAACCTGCTGCAGGTAGAGCGAATCAGGAAGACAAGACGCAATTCCCAAGCCGTAGAACTATTAAGGGTACCAAAAAATGTGTGGTTTGACTGCACCCGACATTTGTGAGCAACCGCAGTCGACTCCTTCCCCGAGCGATGTAAGTGAAAGTAAAATAGGAACAAACAACGACATCAACCGGCCAATCAAAAAGATTCTTCTAAGACACTGGCCTCTCTCGTTGTTATCGTTGGCCCGGAGGCCTTGAACCTGTCATCACGTCCCACCAGGGAGCAAGATCCGATGAGACACATTAAAAAAAAAAAAATGCTAAACACAAACATTGTCTGTTTGTCTTCTTGCAGGTGTTTATCGGCATCAACTCGCTAAGCACCGACTTTTCATCGCAGAAGGGTGTGAAAGGCCTGCCTCTCAACCTGCAGATCGACACGTATGACTTCAGCTCGGGGAACAATCAGCTCATACACAGAGCCGCCTGCCAAGTCAAGATTTTCTGCGATAAGGTTTGTTGTCGCATTGAATCTCGGTCGCGAAAAATACAGGCGGACCTTGACTTATGACCGCCGCCACTGAGGGTTTTCAAGTTACGAGCTGTGGCTTGGCTTTATTTATTTTTTTATTTTTTTAATTGCGAGCCAAAATTTGACATATAAGCGTCTTGAAGATACTATGCGACTTGTGTAAAGTAAACACAAAAGAAAAGACATAAATGGACCATATAAGGGATGATAATGCCCTTGTATATGGGCCTCTTCAAGACACACATCCAAAACCAAATACTGCAGCACGGATAGTCATGACACACTATGAATTTTTTTAATTTTCATTTTACATTTGGATTTTTATGTGATGTTATGTCATTATATTTGCATACAATATGGCGCAAAAATATCCTGAGAATTTGTGAACATTTTTGGAACGTAGGACTGCCATTTCAATTTCACATCAACTTTTTGTTGCATGCTCAGGGGGCTGAGAGGAAGATGCGTGACGAGGAGAGAAAGAGGACCAAGAGGAGGGGCAAGACGAACAATGACGCCAGTGGTGAGTGTTGCAAAAGTTTAATTAAAAAAATACTACTCCCTGACTTGTGTGTGTGTGTGTGTGTGTTTTCTCTGGGCACTCCTGTTTCCTCCTACATTCCACAAACATTCTTCGTAGGCTAGTGTATGGAGATTA